GGCAGTCACAGCAAGAGCTCCACGTTGCCTCTGTGTGAGGCAGGTGACAAACCCCCCTGTTCAAATGCTCCTCTGGCAGCAGAGCTGACAGGCAGGTCTCAAGGGGGCACACTTGGGGACACCAAGCCCCTGGTCCTGCTGGGGGCTGTGGTAAGTGTGGAGGGCTGGGTGCAGTGGGTGCTGCTCCGGGAGGCTTTGCACCAGCAGGTGGGTGCCTGGCAGAAGGGCAGGCTATCTGTAGGTGCCCCTCTATGCCTAAATAAGATCTCTCCACCTTTCCAGACACCACTGGAGCTGCAGCAGCATCCCAGCCACCTCCATCAGCTGCACAGCCACCCGCCCCTGCGGTGTCACTGGAGTCGAGCTCTGTGCCTGACACCTCTGCTGACACCAAGCCTGTGCCCGTGCTGAGCACACCTGCCCCTGCTGCCTCTCCTGCCCTGGGGGTGCAGCCCCCGAGCAGCCTGGCACCTGCTGCATTCACTGAGCTGGGCCAGACCCACAGCAAACCTCCCTCTCTCCCAAAGCCAAGCATCCTGTTTGGAATGCCGAACACCCCTCCTGCCAGCCAGCCAGCAGTGACTATGGCCACTGCCGTGCCCACCACGGCCACTGCCACACCCATTACAACCACTGCTGTGCCCACCTCAGCCACTGCTGTGCCCACCACAACCACTGCCATGCCCACCCCCATGTTCAAACCCATCTTCGGTGCTGTGCCGAAGAGCGAGAGCACAGCAGCCTGCTCGGCTGTCACCTCCACCACGGCCACCGTGTCTGCGAGCTCAGGCCCTTCTTTGACGTCCTCCACCACCACCATGTTCAAGCCCATCTTCGGCAGCGTCACCGCAGCTTCGTCTCCAGCGAAAGTCTCTCCTTTCGCCTTCAAACCGGCGGCACAACCGGCCCCGGAGCGACCCGGAGCCTCCTCGCCTACCCCGGTGTTCACAGGCCTTCCAAACATCATCTTCACCACTGCAGCTACGACAGCCACCACCCAGAGCTCATCCACGGATGCCGCCACTAAACCTGTCTTCAGCTTCGGACTGACCCCACCTGCGTCCACGGGCCCAGCCACCAGCCTGGCTGTCACCGTCACCTCTGCCACCTCCACCAGCGCAGCACAGCCCTTCCTGTTCGGGGCCCCGACCAGCTCCGCTCCCAGCACAGAAACCAGCTTTGCCACCCCAGGGCCCATGTTCCAGTTCGGGAAGCCACCTCCGGCCACAGTCACTGCCACCACCACTGCCCCAGCAGGCCCTGCCTTTGGCCAGGCACCTTCAAGCTCCGCAGCTGTTGCCACCACCACCGCGGGCTTTAGCATATTTGGGGGCACCACACTGACCTCCTCTGCCCCAGCCACCACAGCTCAGGCGCCGCTGACGTTCGGCTCCTCCGTTTCAGCTTTTGGCAGCTCCTTCGGCGCCGGTGCAAAGCCACCACCATATCCTGGCACCGGGAGTGCCTTCAGCACCGGGACTGCCGACAGCCAGGCGCCCGCCAGCAAACCTGCTGCTGGCCCCGTCAGCTTCGCCCCCCAGTTCAGTTTCGGAGCCCCTCCGGCACAGTCGGCGGCTCAGCCGGCATTCGGCAGCGGTGCCCAGGCAGCCTTTGGCACGACCAGCGCCCAGGGCTCCTTCGGCACCAGCAGCACCCAGGCGGCGTTCGGCACCACCACCTCGGTGTTCTCCTTCGGAACAGCCACCTCCACCACATCGGGCTTTGGTGCCACCACCCAGACCACGAGCAGCAGTGCCAGCGGCGCCGTCTTTGGCACCACCCCGTCCCCGTTCACCTTCATGGCCACCACCCAGCCGGGGCCCTCGGCCGGCGCCTTCGGGATGAGCACGCCGGGCCTCAGCAGCGGCTCCCCGGCCGTGGCCTTCAACTTCGGGGCTGGGCAGAGTGGGGCAGCCTCGGCAGCAGCGCCCTTCGGCTCCTCCCTGCAGCAGAGCACGCTGGGGGCACCGGGCCAGAGCACCCCCTTCGCCTTCACCATGACCAGCACCCCCAACAGCAAGCCTGCCTTCGGAGGTGAGTCAGCATGGAATGGTTTGGGTTGGAAGGGACCTTAAAGATCATGTTCCACTCCCCTGCCATGGGCAGGGACACCTTCGCTGTCCCAGGTTGCTCCAAGCCCTCTCCAGCCTGGCTTTGAACACTTCCAACTTCTCTGGGCAACCTGTGCTAGGGCCTCACCACCCTCACAGGGAACAATTTCTTCCATATGTGTAACCTAAACATCCCCTCTTTCACTTTGAACCCATTACTCTTTGTCCTGTCACTGCAGACCCTGTCAGGGGTCTGGAGTTGGGCAGCAGCATTCCTGACGGACCTTGCCAAGCTCCCGGGCTCCACAGCCCTGGAGAGGCTGGTGCTCCTGCTGTGCAGAGCCTCTCTGTGCAAAGGGAAGGCACTTCCATTACTCCCTGTCCAGGGCCTCAGCCCTCAGTGGTGGAGGGCAATCCTTAAACTCTTCTTGGCCCTTCTGAAGGCACCAGCTCCCTGGCTCTGCACCCAGCCAGGTGTCCTGCAGGAGTCAAGGTTGTGCTGGTCCCTAACAGCCACCTGGAGCTCCTTGGCAGGCAGGGAAGCTGCCAGCCAGTGACTGCCATCTCTTTGTCCTCACTCTCAGGGTTTCCCTGGCATTTCACACCCTCACTGGGCCGTCCCATCTCCCACAGAACTGAAATCCACATGCTGAGCAACTGCTTGAAGTAGAAAGACAGAGGCCTTTCTTTCTCCCTGGCAAATCCTTTTGTGCAGCCCCTCTGCCAGGAGAGCACAGGGATTACCCAGAGGGTGTAACTTTGGCATTAAAAGGGGTTTTTGGGAGCAGATGCCACTCCTGGAAGTTGGACTGTGGTGCTTCACCCCCTGCAGAGAGTCCTGTGGGTGCCACTGGTTCCCAAAGGCTCTTTGTGTGCCAACCCCGGCTCACAGTGACCTGTTGCTGATTCTGTGATTTCCAGGAGCTCCTGCGCCCACCTTTGGGCAGAGCACACCCGTCCCAGGAGCTGTGGGCAGTGGAAGCAGCACCCTTTCCTTCAGGACACCCAGCACTCCTGCCTCGGGCTTTGGAGGAGTCGGCTCATCCTTTGGTAAGGAGTGAGATGGTGCTCCAGCCTTGGGGAGCTCATGGGTCGTGGTGTGTCCTCGGGCTGGGGACAGTGGCAGGGCCAGATGTGTTCTGGGAGCTGGCTCAGGTGGTACCAGCTGGGCTCAAGGGGACCCCAAACCTGTTCCTCCCAGGGTGGGGATCACGCTGTCCCCAAGGCTGCAGAGCCCTGAGCCACCTTTCTGCTTCCAGGTTCGTCCACCCCCACCTTCTCCATCGGGGCAGGATCCAAGACGGGCGCTCGCCAGCGGCTGCAGGCACGGAGGCAGCACACCCGCAAAAAGTGACCCCGGTGCTGCTGGGCCCTCTGGCCCACGTGTGGGGAGCTCCAGGCTGGAGCTGTCCCCGTGGTGGGACCAGGCCCCGTCCCTGCCACCCACTGGAGCCCATGCCGGGTGGCTGGGATGGGATAAACCAAACTCTTGTTACTTGAACAGTTCAGAGCCAAGGCTGGACAACCCTCTGTACATATCCGCAACGTCCCTTCCCCACTTTATTTTGCCATGTTTAATGATGTGTAAATTTTTCCCCATTTGCTTCTTCCAGCTTTTCCTGTGCCCCCCACCCAGCCCTCAGCCAGCCTTGAGGCTGTGTCCCGCTCGGAGCCCCGCTGGGGCCATGCTGCAGTTCCAGGCTGCCCAGGGACCCCGTCTTCACCAGGTCCCCAAGTCTTTCCCATTGTTCACCCTGTGGCCTGGTGAACACGCTCCCATCCCTGCTGCTGGGGCTGGTGCCAGCCTGGTGCTCCCCAGTGACCAGCATGGCTTCAGCTGGGTGACCTCATCTGCCACCTCCAGCCGAGGACACGCCGTAACCCCAAGGCCTGTGCTGGAGGCACGGGGTGAGGATGGGGATCCCCCCGCCCCTCTCCCCTCCCCGCTGCTCCGTGGGGCTGTGGGCTGCCCCCACCCCGCTCCCCCTGGTCTGCTTTGTCCGTGCTCCCGTTGTGCGCTCACTGAATCGAGTTTGGAGGAAGAGCTGAACCGTGTGTGTGGCGGCATGTTGGTTATGCCGGATTTGCTGTTTGGAGTTTCTTTTTTGGGGGGCGCCGGTCCCTGGGGGGGGGACGTGCCCCGGCTAATTGGGTGTTGACAGTAGCATCACTGCGTGGCTGCTCGTGCTGGGGAGTTGTCCCTTCCATGTCGTGACTGAAAGGCAGCTGGGCCGGGTTGTTCCAACCCTGGCAGTCTCTTCCCCTCCCTTCCCCTCTCTCCTGGTGCCCCCTCCCCACCTTGGGGGGGGTGGGGCTCTGGAGCTGATCCCAGGATTCCAGAGCGGATGGGTTCTCCTCACCCCTCCCAAGTCCAAAGTGGTTTTCATTTTTAGCTCGTCCCCCTCCCTTTGGGTTTTACCAGCTCTGAGGAGCTGCAATGCTGCCTCCACTATCCCCATCCAGCCAGTAGTGGGGATTCCACCCTTCCCTGCCTGGGAGCTTCATGGGAAGAGACTGCTGGAGCTGGGGGTCACCTAAGAGCCACCCCCTGCCTTGCCCAGGGCAAGGGATGGGCACCCCATTCCCAGGAGTGCTCTGCTGCCAGATTTTTACTCTCCGAGCCGTGTGAGTGTGTGTGTCTGCTGAGGTCTAAATTAAAAAAAAAAAAAAAAAAAGCAAAAAAAAAAAAAAAAAAAATTACAAATATTTAAACGTTTTTTAACAAAAAAAAAAATTTATTTTTATATTTAAGCTAAATTGCCTTCAAATTCCTTCAAGCTTGGTTCAGTGAGGTTGCCAGCTGTTAGTGTTTAGCTGTTCCCCACCCTGGCTGTGCCCACTGGGATGTGCTGTGCTGGGAAAGGCAGCTGCATCCCATGGGCTCTGCCGTGCTCCCCCTGCTGTACATCATCCCCTTCCTTTTAAATGTGATGTATGTGGATGTGACTAAACCTTTTTTTTTTTTTTTTTTTTTTTAATTATTTCTCTGAGGGTGAGGAGCAGGAGCTCTCATGTTACGGTGCTGAGTGCCAGGGTCAAGGTGTCTCTCCTGGCAGGAAGGGCAGGTGACGGGCTCTGTGTGGCACAGAGGGGACACAAAGGACCTGCAGGTGCTGGTGGGGGTGGTTCTGGCCATCCCCCACCAGCACAGCTGAGCGTGCAGTGGGCTGAGAGCAGCCAGGCTGAGAAAACATATCCTTGGGGTTTGAGGAAGTGGCTGGGACAGGATTAGCGCCCACCAAGTCTGACCCTGGGCATCCCTCCCTCTGCCCCAGGCAGGGTGTTGGGCCAGGAGAGCGCCCACTCTCCCCATCCTCAGAGGTGCCAGGGTTTGGCCAGGTCCGCTCCAGCAAGACCTGTGTGCCAGAGGGAGATGGGAATGAGCAGGGACAAGGTGAGGGCACCCTGTAGTCCCACACCCCCAGCCCTGTGAGGTGCCAGGCTGTCCCTTCTCCACCACACAGCCCCTGCCGGGAGAGCCCCCAGTGCCTGGGGGGAGGCTGGATTTTAAACTGACTGAAGACTTGGATCATTCCTGGTGTGGCTGATGAGGATTTTAGTGTGAATGTGCAATTTTTGTTTCCTTGCTTCTTATGTCCCTGGTTTAAAATAAAACAACTGTGTTCACACGTGTGCGATTCCTGGGGCTCGTGGGGTTCAGGTGCCGCTTCCAGCACACTCTGGCTCATATGTCCCTGCTCCCCCTGGTCAAAGGTAGGTGCAGGGAGAGGATTATTGTTATTATCTATTAATTCACTTTTTCTCCTCCTACTTTGCCTTTACTATGAGCAGTGGCAGGACTGCACAAACAAGCTGGAGAAGACAGTAGAGGAAGAGAAACTTTATTCTGCTTCATTTCTACAGTTAAAGGCTTTTTTCTTGAAGCTTCACATCAGGCTGGGTTCAGGATTTTTTGGGAGGGGAACATGATAAAACAACACCCTTCATCGAGCTGGAGCACCCAGGCCCTGCAGGGTGAAGAGTGGGGGTTGCCTTGGGGGCAAACCTGAGGGGGGGTGGCTGCAAGGGGCAGCCCTGGGTGACCAGTTTCTCCTCCCTGACACCAGGGTGACCCCAGGGCTGGCACTCAGTGCAGGGATTACAGAATTCCCAGTGCAGCTGGCACAAGGCTTGACTTGTGCCCAGGCAACAGGAGGGTTCCCTGCAGCCCCATCTGGGCAGGGGGCAGTCCAAAAAATTGTTTCACTCCTTCACCCTCTGCTTTTTCCTTTTCCTCTTCCTGGGAGCTGCTCCTGGCTTTGTTTCCTCTCTGGGCTGTGGCTTCTCCTCAGCTGCCACAGGCAGGGAGCTGCAGACAAGAGCAAACATCCTGAGCCACTCACCAGTGCCACAGCTCCTGCCCCCTGCACCCACCCAGACCCCTCCACCTCCCCTCACCCCCCCTCCCCAAGGTGCCCAGCAGCCCTGGCTTTGGCAGTGGTGCCCCCCAGAAGTAACTGGAGACCCTCAGTGCCCTCCTCTCACCTGGGGGCATCAGCCCCTTCCTGGCACCGCTCCAGCACAGCCACGAAGAAGCCGTGGGTGAGGGTCTCTGCGGGGGACGCTCGGAGGCAGCTCTCGGCTCCAGGGAAGGCAGCGAGTCCTCGGCAGGGCCAGGATGGGAAGGCGGTCACCAGCCTGTGGATTGGGATGAGGGTCAGCACCACACCCTGCCCTACAGCCCCCTGAGCCCCCAGGCAGACCCACCTGAAGGCTGAGCCCTGCTCCTGCAGCACAGCCTGCACCACGTCCTCGTTCTCCTCGCGGTGCACGGAGCAGGTGGAGTAGACCAGGCGCCGCAGGGCTGGGAAGCTCAGGGCGTGGCCCAGGACCCGCCGCTGGAACCCGGCCAGCGCCTGCAGCCGCTCGGCACTGGGGGCCACCTCCTCCCCTGGCCCCCGGGTCACCATCCCTGCAGGATAGGAGCTGTCACCGAGGGGTCTGCACACCCCCAGCCCCACCCCCGGGGAGCAGAGAGCCCCCTGTGTTACCTGAGCCGCTGCAGGACGGGTCGAGCAGGATATGGGTCACCCTGCTGTACTTGGGGTCTTGGGGGTCCACGGCCAGGAAGTCCTGCTGGGCCAGCTGGCAGCCGGTGACCCCTGCCCGTGCCAGCAGCGTGTTCATGGTGGCCACGCGCTTGGGGTCCACGTCAAAGGCAAAGATCTGGCTGAAGGCAGAGCACAGTGCCCAAGACAGGCATGAACATCCCACCTGGCCCCGGGAACTCCCAAACACCAGGCAGGCACAGCCTGGGAGCTGCCCCACCCCACAGGAGTACAGGGGCTGGGAGTGAACCCCTGTGTGACTTCACATCCCCTTAAGTGCTTGCAGTGGCCCAGGGCTGTCAGAGCCACCAGCTCACCTGAGTTTTTGGGGCAGGGTGACAGGCTGCAGCTCTGCCACCTTCTCGTGCTCTCTATGGGTTTGGGGGGACCAGAGCCACCTTTCCCCCTCCCTCCACCCCCCCCACAAACCTGCCCTCACCCCTTGTTCCTCAGGATGGCAGCCAGGTGGCTGGTCTTGTTCCCGGGGGCAGCGCAGGCATCGATGACGTGGGAGCCGGCAGCAGGGCCGAGGAGGAAGGCAGGGAGGCAGCTGGCCTGCAAGAGGGACAAGCCTGTGAGAGGGTGGGCAGCAGCACTCCAAGCCCTCCTCAGGGCACAGCTGGCACTGTGTGGTCACAGGGACCACAGCGACACAGGGCCAAGGCCACCACAACCCTCCACTGGAAGCTTTGCCCAGTCCACAACCCTGTGCTCCTCCCAGCTGCTGGTCCCCAGTTCCCATGGAGGGTTTTATAGCCCAGGAATTCATTCCAAACCTACAGGCTATGGAAGCAAAGCCCCAGGGAAGGCTGCATCCACAGTTTCTGCTTAGACCTAAGTGCTGCAGCAAAGCCCAGCCCTCGTGGAAGGAGCTGACCCTACACCCCGTCACTGTTTTTCCCACCCCTGCAGCCTCCTGCTCCCCAGTTCCCCTACCTTGTCCTGCAGAATGATGTGTCCTGAAGTATACAGCAGGTTGTCATGGAGGTCTGTCTGAGGAGGGAAAACCAGCAGCTCCGGCAGATGAGGATCCAACAAGAACTTCTTTCCAGAGAGGGCCCTCAGCTCCTCCAAGCTGCCCATGAGACACATGGAGGATGAATACACATAGTCTTGGCTCACTGTGGCCATGGCAGAGCCCTCCAGAGCCCAGGCTGAGAATCCCCCTCATCCCACAGTTCTCCCCCAGCTCCAGGCAGCACCCAGAGAGGCAGAAACTAAGAGTGTGGGGTGATGGAAACCTCAGCCCAGCTACCCTGAGCACCAAGACCAGCAACCCTTCTACCCACCAGACCTCATCCCAAGCCCCTGCTGCTTGCTGACACCCCAGGTAAGGTGGGATAGCAGGAAGAAACCCTCACCTGGCTGCCTTGCCCAGGTAGGAGTATCCCTGGCGCTTGAAGAAGTCGATCACATCGTCCACACAAGTCTTCAGGGTGTTGACCCGGACGTAGCGCGGGATCTGGGAGGCTGTGAGGGCCAGGCAGGTCAGACACAGCCCCCCACAGCTCCCAGCACGTGGCGCCCATCCAGCCCTGAGCCCGCTCACCTGCGGGACTCGCCTGCTCCGGGGCCAGCAGGTCCTCGTTGCGGCTCACCTTGTGCCGCACCTTCAGCCGGGCCAGCTCGGCCTCCAGCCGCGCCCGGTGCCGCCGGGCCAGCGCCTTCCAGCGGCCCCCGCACTTGAGCCCTTTGCCGAAGAGCAGGTCGTACACCAGCACCTGCGGGGAGGGCACGGGGTGAGCCGGGACACCACGGCCCCAGGGACACCACGGCCCCAGGGACATCCCGGCTCCGGTACGTCCGGGTCCGGTACATCCCGGCCCCAGGGACACCCCGGCTCCGGGATACCACGGCCCCGGGGACCCCGCAGCTTCAGAGACATGCCGGCTCCGGGACATCCGCGGCTCCGGGACATCCCGGCCCCGGAACCCCTCGGGTTGGAGACATCCCAGCCCCGTCCCCCCGTAACATCCTCGAGGAAACATCCTCGTCCCCCCCGTACCTTGGCCAGCTGCGGGGGCAGCTTCTTCTCGGCCTGCAGCAGCGCGGCGCCATCCAGCAGCTTCTCGAGCACCGGCGCGTAGCGGAGGGTCTCGGACACCAGCGCGTAGAGCTGCCGGACGTGCTGCGGGGCGGGCAGGGGCTCAGCGGCACCGCCGCACACCCCGGGGCTCCCCCCAACCCCCGGCTCCGACCCCCCCCTCCCGGGCTCACCGGGAAGCCGCTGTTGTACACGAGGCTCTTGAGGCCGCCCTGGCCGCGCTCCAGCCCGTCCAGCACGGCGGCGGCCGCGCTGTACAGCGCCATGTGCGCTGCCCCTTCCCCCGCAGGGCCGCCGGACGGGAGGGGGCGAGCGCGGCCCCGCCGGCAGCCGGGCTGGGATCCGGGAGCCGGGATCGGGCATCCGGCTCCGGCTCCGCCTCCGCGCCGGGGGAAGCGGCGGCCGGGCGGGACCGGGGTTAGGCGGTAGAGGGGCCGCAGCTGTGCGGGATCGGCGGTGCGAGCCGCGGCATCCCGGCCACCCTGGTCATCCCGGCCAGCCCCGTCACCTCGCTCAGCCCCATCACCCCCGCCACCCTGGTCACCCCGGTGATCCCAGCCACCTGGCCACTCCAGCACCCTAAGTCATCCTGGCCACTGCTATCACCCCGGCCAGCCCAGTGACCCCCTCAACCCCATCACCCTGCTCATCCTGGTGGTCCTGGCCACCCCTATCGGCCCAGTCAGCCCTGTGACCCCAGTCACCCCTGTCACTCTGGCCATCCTGGTCACTCTGGTCATTTCCAGCCACCTCTGTCACCCCAGTGACCCTGGCCAGCAACCGTGGCCACCCTGGCTGCTCCAGCTGGTCCAGTGGAGCAAGGCACAGACACTGTTAGCAGTTGTTAATCCCCATGACACGTGGATGTTGATGGGGATTTACTGCAGACTTTGGTGGTGTTCATCCTGAAGTCAAACAAATCAAAGGATGCCCAGCCCTGGAAAGAGGAGGCTGCCCTGGGGAAAAGACAACAGTTCCCTACCCCAGCTCTCAGCCCTGAGCAGCTGGACAAGGCACTGTCCGGAGCAGGCCGGTGTCCTCCCACCAGGACTGACCTGCTGCCTGCACACAGCTCTCTGCAGCTGCTCTTTGGGCTCCCATGTCCCCACTCCAGCAACCCCTCCTGCCCTGCAGAGCACCACAGCTGCCCCCTCAGCTCCACTGTGCTCAGTCTCTCAGTGTTCCCATGTCAGCCAGCAACCAGCCCACCCAACTCAAACTCTCTTTATTGGGAAGGACGAGCCACAAAGACTCTGGACGCTCATGGCTCACGCTTTTCAGGCAGACAGGGAGATCCTTGCAGGCCAGCAATGGTTCAGGTATCTGGGACAGCCTGGCAGGCTGGGAATGGGGATTGCTGAGGTGAAGGCTGACATTTTATGCTCTTAGTGGAGAGGGGAAGGACCCTCCTGTGCTGCTGAAGCTTGTTCTGCAGCACCACGACTTCCATGAGAGGACAACCCTGCACACACCCACACAGGGTGAGAGGTGGGACTGCTCAGCCTGGAGAAGAGAAGGTTGTGTGGAGACCTCACAGCCCATTCCAGGATCTGAAGGGGCCTGCAAGGAAGCCGGAGAGGGACTCTGCAGTGACAGGACAAGGAGTGATGAGTTCACACTGAAAGGGGGAAATTTAGGTTAAATATACAGGAGAAATTCTTCCCTGTGAGGGTGGGGAGGCCCTGGCACAGGTTGTCCAGAGAAGCTGTGGCTGCCCCTGGATCCCTGGAAGTGTCCAAGGCCAGACTAGACAGAGGTGAGAGCAACCTGGTCTAGTGGAAGGTGTCCCTGCCAATGGCAGGGACAGTGGAACAAGATGGTCTTTAAGGTCCCTTCCAACCTAAACCATTCCACGACTCCATGCCTATGACCCCCACCCAGGACTCAGCCACAGCCTCATCCCTACGGCTCCGTGTGTTCCCTGGGGGCAGGATGGGGTGCCCAGGGGTGCCGGCTCGCAGTGGGCATGGGCAGGATGATGGGGGGGGAGTAGGACCCTCGCTCGGGCCAGCACAGATCCACGATGGGGTAGAGCTGGCCCTGGAACTCCGCCTGGAAGGTGTAGATGGGGCTGAGCTCGTCAGGGCTGTCAGCGTTGTAGAAGCTCAGCTGCCCCCTCTCGTAGTGCAGGAAGAGGCCGATGCGCCGGGGCCGGGCCGTGAGCGGCAGCGGCACCCGCGGGGAGCTGAAGGCCTCGTACACCTTCCCATCCTTCAGGCCGATGAGCCACACCCCGCTCTCGGGGCACTTGCTGAGCTTCCCCTTGCGGCTCACGGTGCCCCTGATGACGCCCAGGCGCCAGTGGTTCCTGGTGCCCACGATCACCTCCCAGTAGTGCCGCCCGCAGGAGAAGCCCTTGGAGGTGAGGATGCAGTTGCTGGAGTTGAAGCGCTTGGGGTTGCTGTCCCGGCGCTGGGAGAGCCCGCACTGCACCACCGTGTCCCCCTTGGAGAGCTCCAGGAGGGGATGTGCTGTCACCGGGTCCAGTTTCAGCGCCTCTGGAGCTGGAAGGAAAGCAGGCAGGCTCCAGGCACACCGGAGGCACAGCCTGGCTCAGCCCTGAGGACCAGCACTGCTGGCACAGCTGGAGAGTTATTCCCGCACAGGGCATGGCCAGGCACTGCTCCAGGAGCGTTCCTGTGGTGAGGAGCACCCCAGGAGAGGCCAGAGCAGGGTGACACTGTCTGGGCAGGGTGACACTGGCTGGGCAGCCCGTGCCTGTGCCAGGGCCCCCGGCAGGATGGTACCTGGCAGGACACGGCGGTGCAGGCGCTTCCACACTGTCATCTTGATGTCATCTTGGTGGAAACAGGGCTTGAAGGACACGGGGCTGAAGGTGCCATCGCCGGGGTGCAGGCTGGGGAGCTCTGACCTGGAAAGACGTGACAGCTGTGACACAGGGGATGGGGGTGGCGTGTGACCGCTTCTCACCTCCTACGATGGAGCCACTGGTGTGACACCAGCTGCTTGTGCCCTTGTCTGGGGTGGAGGTGATGGCTCTGGCCAGGCTGTCCCTCACACCTGCAGTGTCTCCTGAGGCTGCTTCAGCAATGTGGAGGTGCCCACTGGCCTGGGACCTCGAGCCTGCTATGGAGGCACTGCCATCCCCACAGATGCTGTTTGCTGCTGGGTCCCACCACTCACCTGAACTGGGAGGAGCCATATTTCTGGAAAACACAAGAGGAGAGAGTCAGACACAGCTGCACAGCTTCTCAGCCTCTCCAGCCTAAGATTTTCCTCTCCTGAAATTGTTATAGGCATTTCCTCTCCTGGAGGACAGTTTTCTCCCATGGGAGAGCCCTGGCTGGACAGAGAGCACCTACATCCCACTTCCCAGGTGTCCCAGCTTGGTGAGGGCACCCAGTGCCCAGGGGTGCTCAGGGCTGTGAGCAGGAGCTGAGGGCTGCAGACCTGGCTGGCACCCACACTCACCCTGACAAAATCCAGCTGATTTTCATTGCCCAGTGCTTCCAGAGAGCTCTGCATCTCCCTCAGCCTCTGCAGGGCGTCCGATGTCTGCTTGACCTGGGCCTCGATGGAGGAGATGAGTTGGGCTGCCTTCCCCTCGATGCTCCTCAGGAAGGTGGCCTTCTCCTCATCAATGTACCTGTGCAGCTCCTGGAATTCCTTCCGGACCACCCACTTGTAGACATCCACCTCAGCCTGTGGGGAGGAGCACGTGGCTCTGCAGGGCTGCCCTGCTCCTTCACCTGCTTTTTATTTTCAGAGGTGCCACCAAGTCACCCCCCAAAGCCACCAGGCCGCCCTCCCCTGCCTTGCCAAATAACCAGCAGCTCTCTACTGGATGTTGTTCCATCCTCAACACCTCACCACCATCCCACCCCTGCCTTCCACCTCTTCTCCCCTAGATTTTCCCTTCCTGACATCCCAACCAGCTTCATCAAAGTGAAAGAGCTCTTCGATCCCTCTGCTCCCAGAACCCGCGGCCTGGGCTAAGGGGAGACAGCTCCAGCTCCCCTTTGGTGTGGGTTGAGCCCCACTGGGAAGCTTTAGCCTCAGAAGGGATGTCAGGAGGTGCCTTGGAAGCATCTTCCACCTGGGAAACGCAGCTAAACCAGGCACAAACTCCATGTGAAGCCACCAGTGTTGCCCTGAGTGGGAAGGCTGCTCCGAGCAGGGCCATTTTCACCTGTTATCTCCCCACTTCCAAGGACATTGGATCAAACAGTTGCTGGCAGGAAGCAAGGAGAGGTTACATCACCCTTCTGGAAACAGGGCTGTGCCACCAAGAGGGCTCCATCCCCCTTCCCAAAACCAGGACTGGGTTTAGTCCCTGGGTGTCGTGGAGAACACAAACCTCAGGGAGCAGGGTGGAAGATAAGCCCTATCTGCTGCTGCAGAGAAGGGGAGGAGAGGAGGAGAGGAGTAGGGGGGATGAGCTGGGAAGAATCAGGAGCAGAGGTTGCTCCAGGGACACAAAGGACTCGGGGACACAAAGGACTTGGGGACATGGGCTCCCCTGGCACGTGGCACTCACTGCGACCCGGCTTTTGTTGTTGATGAGTTTGCTGCACTGCTCCTCCAGGTTCCTCTGGCACTGCTGGATGTTAGTCAGGAGAACAGAGAGCTCCTCCTGGAAACACAGCACCATGGAGGTGGCCTCCTTCCTCCCAGGGAACCTCCATGGTCCCAGGCAGTGCCTGTCAACCCAAGGAGCACGTGGCCCTCCTGAGCCACATTCTCCTACACTTTCCCTAAGCTTTGTGGGGCCCTGCACATCCTGCTGATCTTTACTTTCTTGGTCAGGAGGATCTGGAGGTGGCAGAGGCAGGAGAGCACTCAGCATGGCCCCAGTCCATGTCCCAGACCAGCTATTCCTGCCAGGAGCACCATGTCACCTCTCCCACTCCCAACACATCTCACACCCCAGGCCAGCACCAGCCAGGGGCACCCTCACAGTGCTGGTCCCAGCAGTGGCACAGGAGCGTTTCTGGTGCCTCCTGCTCTTATCTCCCCAGTGCCAGGAGCACGGGGCACGGGTGGCTTTGCCATTCCTGGGGCTTCCACGTGGCTCTGGGCAGGGAACACCAGCTGTTTGCTCTGCCTGGCTGGGGCTCCTGTTTCCCACCCCCCTGCTCTCCTGTGGCTCCTCAACCCTGACCTCCAGACTCCTTCTGATGCTGTTTGGACACAGCACCCCGACCACCTGAGAAACAGCTGCCCCCCATCCCAGGGCCCCTGCCCCACATCTGGCCCCATTCCCAGCCTGTCCCCCAAGCAGAGGGGACCTTTGGAAAGCACTGCAGGTGCCCCTGGCTGGCTCTG